TATCAACTTCGCCCCCCCCCCCCGAACCCCCCGCGTCGGTCACGGTCGAAACTGCTACAGCTGTGGTGACGTCGCTGTTGCAGCCCACCACCCCGCCCGGTCCCGATCTGGTGCCGCCGTTTCCACACGCCGCGCCGGGGAAAGTACCACCAGTACCCCCCGCCGCCGCCGCCGCGAGGAGACCAGGGCCGGCTCCGCCGTCGAAGGTTATCCACTGCCTCAGGTACCCCTCGAGGCGCTGCTCCTGCTCGAAGAGGAGCTGTATCATCTGGGAGGAGAGGGCGCGCTTGAGCTCCTCGGCTTCCTCGGCCTCCGTCAGCACCCGCGTGTAGCTTGTGTAACGACAAGGATTGAGTAGGTTCGTTGTGAGCCAACCAATAATCAGCGACGGAGACAAATGGTGAGCGCGAAAAAAATGGTCAACAAGTGCATGGTATACAACTGCATCTAAATCTTAGTTATTATTTTTGGCAATATTCGGCCTCCGTCAACACCCGCGTGTAGCTTGTCACGACAAGAGCGAGTAGTAGCACGGCGGGAGAAATGGAAAATTGTGAGAGAACCAGATATCAGCGACGGAGAAAACTGGCGCGAGCCAAAAAGACAGCTAACAATTGGGTGTTTTATATCTAGATCTTGTTATTTGTTTGGCAACTTTCGGCCTCCATGAAAGCCCGCGTGTGTAGCTTTTGGCGACAAGAGTGAGCCAGCCAAAAACCGCAGGACAAAGAGAAGAAGGGACTTGTGAGCCAGCCGAAAATCAGAGACGGAGAAAAATGGTGCGAGCCGACGACAAGGGTCAATAATCCGCTCTATATGTTCAACTCAACTCATTTTCTTTTTTTTATGAAACTTGTCAGCAATCTAATTATTTCATTTGTGTGTTTTTTTTCATTTTGGCATATTGGCGGTGTAGTTTTATCAGATGTAGTAGGACGTGGCAGAACACATCTTCGGCCTCCTGCTTGTCGACGCTCGCGGGTGACGCTGACTGGTGTTGCAGAAACAACAAACACAACAAAACAAAAACGCCCCTAGATTTGGCAAAAACAACAAACAAATGGCTTCAACAAAAACGCTGGCAATGATAACTGCTCCCGATAAAAAGACGGAAGCAGAACAACCCCATGGCACGGCACAGAGAACAACAGGACAGCGGCCGGTCCAGCATTTGAGGATATACAGGGGAACCAGTACTTCTAGTGCTATTCGAAGGAACCCGATTCCCACTTTTCGGGGAGAGGACGCTCCCCTCACTCCCCTCACTTCCCAAAAGGAACTTTCCCCCTTTCCACACGCAGTACTCATCGCACCGTTGGTCTTCAGTCTCGAGTGCACAATCGAGCGGTTCTTGGAAATGAGTCGTAGAAAACTTGAAGAAGCTCATGCATTACCCTGTGGTAGAGCGACGGGTACATGGAGAACAATTCCCTCTGTTTATTGCACCCATGATACTCTTGCGTAGAACTTGACGTTCAGTCACTGCCTGTGGTAAAGCGTCGCGTACATGTAGGAGAACGACTCCCCCTTTTCGCACGTACTTCTGGTGTTTTTGCGACGTCCAAAGTTCGTTTCACCTGTGGTAGAGCGTCGCGTACATGTCGGACTTGTCGTCAATGCCGGCCTGCACCTCCTCAAGCCGGGTCCGCAGCTGCGCAAGGTCCTGGTACAGCTCTTCCATGAGGGTGGGAGTCGGCCGCTCTTTCTTACCTAACGGGCGATTGCACACACGCACGGGTTTCCAGAGATCATGGCCTTTATTTAGCAGCTTAGCGCGGTCGACGCAAAAAAGAAAAGAATGACACACGCCCATGGCCTGTATAGAAGCATTTTACGCGTTGAGCCGCACTGAGATTGGCGTCACTTCATTGGCCCGTAGACTAAATAACGCCGTCGACGCCAACGACAAACAAACACACAAGGACACACACACCACTATCGGTAGTAGGAATCCAACGACCGGCGTGTTTTCATCGGCCAGTCCACTATTTAAATAGCGCGGTCGATGTTAATCAACAGACACAAGCACACACACCGCAGGAGGGGCGATGGGTTGGGGCTCTCACGGAGAGGAACCCTTCTGTTGTGGCCACGGATGGGAGCCAGCTCCTACACGGCAGAAAAGCTGCGTATCCGAGCGCTGATTCAAAAATAAAAACATGGTATGTACCTCTCCGGCGGGACCACGGCGTTGGAGACAAGGACGCCCCCGATTGTTCCGACCCCGGCGAAAGCCTCGATCCCGGGAACCACCTCGAGTAGGACATCGACGACCCAGCGCTCGCCACCGCGGCCAGCTTGGCGGCAGCTGCGGAGGTTCCGCCGCCGCCGCCGCCACCGACGGTGCTGCCGCTGCTGCTGCCGACCCACTTCGCAAGGCGTCTCCAAGCGGTGTCTTTCTCTTCCGCGCCCGATCCGTCGCCGCCCGCGGCCTTGCCGAAACCCCGAGCGGTGCCATCATCGTCGCCGCGGGCCCCCATGCTGAGTCTCCCCCCAGCCCCGCTACCAGCTTCTCGGGGTCCTCCCCCCATAGAAAAGCCTCCTTTGGGGGAAGATGGCGGGGAGAACGACCGACCGGGCCTCGGGGATACTGCCACGAGACGGGGGGTCCGCGGCTTGGAGGTGATCAAATCGCCGCCCGCTCGTCCAACGGCGCTGCTGCAGTTGCCGCTGCCGCTGCTTCGTGATGGGGGTGGAGGGCTAAGTTCCGCCGTCGCCGTCCCCTCCTCTCCGAGAGTGGACACCACGATGCTCTCGGGTTTCCAGGATGGCGGAGGCGGCAGGTGCTGCAAGAAACAATGGTCGCTCTCGGCGTTCCATATCTTCGTGGTACGTTTTGTCGAGGCAGGTCCCAGGTGGAAAGGGGGGGGGGGATTGGTCAGCGGAGGATACATGATGGACAGAGATGGTAGCAAGGGGAGGGGCGGG